ATCAAGGCATAGATCAAGAATGAGTCAATCGATTTTTGGAAAAGAGTTTTATTCAACCGTGTTTGACCCATGATCAGTTTGATTTATATAGATATTGTATAGCATGCGATGCAATATAATATGCAAGTATTGTATGAAAAATGGCCACCACAACGGGTATACAATTTTCAAGGTACATGGATATTTGCATCAGGACGATGTACCTTTAAATGAGTTGAAGACTCTAATTGATTGTTGAAAAAGTAAAGTTGAACAAATTTTGCTGTTGTCTTTACATATAAACAATATTGTAATGGTTCAAACCCCCGACGCCTCAGGTCATCTACCACACATGGTTCGCCTAGTGTGACTTGTCTGTCGGCCCTAATTTGCAGGGTATTAGGTTCGTCGAGAGTTTATCCAGTGCGTATTTCCGGGTAGCGGTTGTGGGTTCCCACATCATAAAAAAAATATTGTAATTATGTAGACGCAATAGTTGCTTGTTACATTGCCAAATACTATAAATGACCAATTAATATTCACCAAAATTTTAAATACTACAAGGGGTTGCCTTTTCATTTCAAAGTTTACAGGTGTTTTGAAGTAAACAAATTTAATTTCAAAATATATTAGTACTTCTTCCGTCCCAGATATGGTGTCCCATTTACGGTAGAAATATAATTAGTAAATAATTATGTATGTATTAGTAAATATAATTATTATTTAATAAAAATAAATTAAAATTAAAATTAAGATAACTAATTAGTATAATTAAAATTTACAAAATTAAATTATAAATTTTTAAATGAGATTAAAGTGTATACTATTTTTCAAAAAAAATAAAAATAAAAAATAACAGAATAAGTGAGACAGACGGAAATAGAAAGATCGATGGACACGGTTAGTGAAACGGAGAGAGTATGATTTAGGATTTGTGTATATATATATATATATATATATATGAGTTCTTCACCATTCAATGTTGTGGAGATGGTAAAAGAAAATTTTCCAACAAATTCCAACTCACGAGTCTGATTTGAATAGATATTGTGTAACATATGATGCGTAATATGCAAGTATTTTATGAAAAATGGCCACCACAACAGCCATGGAATTTTCAAGATCCACAGACATTTGCATTAAGACGGTGTTCCTTTAAGTGAGCTGGAGACTCTAATTGATTGTTCGAAAATTAAGGTATAATAAATTTTGTTTTTTGTCTCTACATATAAACCTTATTATAATTATAGTAGTTTAGCCAAAATAGATATTTGAATGTGTTTATATTTTTCACCAAATATTTTTCGGTTTGTTTTCCTTTTAGTTAGATACTCAAATTTAGTTTTCATATAATTTGCATTATAACAACTAGCATGTGTAAGTTATGATATATTTTACATTTTGTGTTCGATTTTAATTGATTAATGAGAGCTTTATTGTTGTTTCTTTCATGGAATTACAGTCCTACAAAAGTAACAATAAATGGGCTATACATTAGCTCCTCCCCACAACACTGTATCAGATTCACACGGTGGGAAAAGTGGATCTTGCCATGTTTACGAAAGAAAGCTGAATTCTCGATGGTTTTTCCCCTTCATATGAAACGCGATATTACATTTATCTTTATAATATCACTACAAAAAATTATCTGATTAGCTACAATATATGTAGCTATGAAATATTTTTGTAGTTAAAACGTATCATTTAGTAACAAAAATTAATTTCATTGCAAAAATAAATTATGTACTACAAATTTAATTTCGTCGCTAAAATGTTTTTACTAGAAATTTATATTTTTATAGTAAAAAGGTTTTAGCTACAAAATTATTTTTCATAGCTAAAATTATTAGGTTAAAATAATCATAGATATTTTGTTGCTAAAACTCTTTTGTTATGAATTTTAATTTTATAGCTAAAGAACTTTAGCTACAAAATCATATTTTCATAGTTATGTCTCTTTTTTCTTAACTTTCATTGCAAAAAACTTGTTTTTTTGTTACGAAACTCATATTTGTCGCCAAAGAACTTTAGTAACGTGGTATAGGCGACGAAATAAGTTTCGCCGCAAAAATGTTTTTTTTTTTATGAATTATTACATTTTGCTCTGAAATTTTTTGTAGCTAAATTTCAAATTTTTTGTAGTGTATCGACAATATACAATTAAGCATGTACATACAATGTGTTGATTGACATCCCTATATAGAGTTGCTCAAGCTATTTTTAAATTTGATATTTAATAAATGTAAGGGAAGTGAATACATTCATCTTGGAGGGTGCCTTTCTTTGATTGATAAGATTGTTATTTGTTATTAATCTTATGATTCTATGAAACAATATTTGTTTTAATCATGTCATCATTTTATGAGATTTAAAGATTTTTTCATTGCGTGCTAATAATGAAATTCATCGGATCATAGATTGAGAATTGGTTATTAAGGGAAGTGAATACATACATCTTGGAGGGTGCCTTTCTTCTGATTGATAAGATTGTTATTTTTTTATTAATCTTATGATTCTATTTTTCTAATCATGTAATCATTTTTCGAGATTTAAAGATTTTTTCATTGCATGCTAATAATGAAATTCATCAGATCATAGATTGAGAATTGGTTACTCACTTTCTAGTAATATATTATTTCAACAATGTCCACTCTATCTGATTGACTTGAATGAGTATTGTGTGACATGCTATATGTAAATCTAAAAGCATTGTATAAAAAATGGTTACCACTACGGCCGCACATACATGTTCATTGAGAGCTCTCGGTTACAATTCCAATCCTCACACTATTAGGCCATTCCATGTGAAGTTGGGTTAGAGACTTATTGATTGCACAAAATTATAGGTTAGATAAAATTTTGAGCAATCTTTCCATGTGAATGAACTTGTGCTTATAGTAGTTTATATATGATAGATATTTGAAGAATTTAATATTGTTTGCCCAAAACTTTTCTTTATTGCTTTTGTTTTAATTAGATATACATACTCAATAGTCATATAACATGAAAAACAATGGAAATTTCATAACTAATATACTACTAGGAATACTTTGAGTATAATCAATTTATCTACATTAATGTGCAATCTATCATCTAACAATAATGTTTATGTAATTTTTTTTCACTTATCGTTTTTCTTTATCACAATCAACACGTGTTAGTAGTTATAATCATATTTACTTTGCTTGTCGTATATATATGAATATACTAACACAAAATCTTATGTTGCTTGTCTCAATTATTATAGCTTAGCTATATGCAACAAAGAAGTCCGTTACATCTCAAACTCCTATACCACACAATGGCTTTGGTTCACTCCGCGTGAACTGTGGAGCTTGACACACGGCAAAAGGAAAGCTAAACAACTTTTTTTTTTTTCTATATTATATGCAAGTTCTCATTACTTTTTCCTTTATGATATAGGCGATATAGTCGCAAAATTGTTATATTTTGATTTTAGGTTTATTTAAATACATAAAATTAAACGAAGTGTGTATAGTATAATTTTCTCATGTTAATAAAAGTAAGAAATGTTTGGAATCCGAATATTTTACATAAGAATTTAAACTAAACAAGAAAAAATAAAATTACATAGACTTGAACCCTTAGCCCCATATTCAGCCTTTACCATCCCATTAAGGCTCTGATTTAGCTTAGTGAGAAGAGACCGTGCTTGCAATAGAAAGTTTGATCGATCAATATCGAATTTCATTCATCATATGCGATGTCATTTTACCATTTCATTTATAGTCTAGAAAAACATATATATATATATATCACTACAATAAATTATCAATTTTGTAACGAAGTTTTTTCGTTACTAATTTCATTTTTTCCGTTACTAATAATATTAGAGACGGAATTAGAGATGGAATTACGTTAGCTACGTGAACTTTAGTAACGGAATTCCGTTACAACTATACTATTTTCTTGTAGTATATGTAGTTGCACAAACATTATATTTCAATCCAAATTCGATACATGTTAAATACTAATAGTATTATTATTATTTTTTTGTTGTTGTCAAATTATACTTTGAATCATCAAGTAATATCATTTTGAAAGAAACATATATACTTCTGTATATGATAAATCTTAAAATTAAAATTTACAAACCTAAAAATCCTACAAAGGATTATACTATCCAATAAAATTGCATCAATAGTATAAATTAATATATTTAAATAATTCACAATATAGACAAATATTTTGAAAAAAATAAGCAAATAATTCATTAATGAGATAGGTAATAATAGCATTGCATTGATGACTTCGTAACCACTAATATTGTTACCATCAATATACTGAATATTTAGATACACTCCACATATTAACTTTGCAGTTAAAATAAATAATTAGTTACACTACCAAATTTTATAGTTGACTATTTAATCATCAGTTAAAATTAAATAAGATGTTTTCTTAAAATTTAAATTTCAAAAATTTATACTAATATATAGAATGTGTATTTAACTTGTTACTCATTTTATACACAACTTACTAATCATTCCTAATAAAAGTAGATTTGAATATATTTATTAGTTTCTTATCTGTACTCTAAAATAATCATATTTCTTTCACAATAGTATTTTCTATTATCCTATTTATTATAAATACCTGCTATATAATCACTATTCAGTTTATGCAAAATAGACGCATTTCAAAGAAAAATTAGCAGAGTGCCTAAAAAATGAGTTCTTCAACATATAATGTTGTAGAGATGGTATGATATAATTTTTTTACCTTTATAATTTTGTAAATTTAGTTGTCATAGATTATCATTTATTTTGTAAAGTAAAATACATTGTTAATGGAGTAAGGTGAAAACACATATTTTTTAATAATATGATAAATTTTGAAGTTCTAACATTTTGTTGTTTGAATTGATGTTGTAGGTTGAAAATGAAATTCATCATGGCATAGATCCAGAATGGGTCAATAGATTTTTGGAAAAGAATTTTTTTCAACCATGTTCGACCCATGACAAATTTGATTTGAATAGATATTGTGTAACATGTAATATGGTCATTTGCAAACATTGTGTGAAGAATGGCCATCACAATGCCCACACAATACTTACGGTGCATAGACATTTACATCAAGATGTTATTCCATTGAGTGAGCTGGAAACTCTAATTGATTGTTCAAAGATCAAGGTACAAGAAATTTTGTTTTTGTCTTTACATATAATAACTATAGTCATTATGGATACTTTGATATTTGAACGAGTTAATATTCTTTTATACTAGTCCAAATAATAACTATAGTCGTCGTGGATACTTAGAGGATAAAATTTTTATATACATCTATATATGAGATTTTGTTAATCTAGAAGTGACGTGTAATTTTATTTTATCCTTTTGTTAGCGTTGTGTTTCACTACAATCAACACGTGTTAGTTATTAAGATATTGTTTACTTTTAGCGTCCTATTTTATCAATGACTTAAGAGCTCTACTGTTATTTGTCTCGCGTAATTGCAGCCTTATAGAAGTAACAATAAATGGGTTATATCTGTAAATCCTCTCCCTCATATTGGCTCGAGTTCAGTCAACGAGAACAGTGGGGTTTGCAATGTTTGCAAACGAAGGCTGAATCCTAAATTTCGGTTATGCTCGCTCACTTGCAAGGTGATATTAATTTTTCCTTTACATTTACTTTTCATTTAAGTCTATTGCATAGTTTACTTTTTTGTTGATAAAATGAAGTATTAGGATTTCTGTACATATGTTTTTCTAATGTGATTGTGAATTTCGCAAATGAATACTAAAATACATATTTATTGGTATCTATGGAAATTACATGTAACATATATAGTTCTCCAGCAGCATACAATCAAACAGGTTCACATAATATGTTGATTGACATTTCAAATTTAGAGCGCGGATTTTGTATTTAATCCTTATTGGAGATGGATATGGTTCCGCACATCGTATTTTAATTTACTTTTTTCCCGTAAATATATTTCTAACTTTCACGTTTATCAGGTATCCGAGCAGAGAAGTTTGGAGCAATTGGAGAATGCTGGAGGAACCAAGCATCGTAGAAAAGGAGTGCCTCGAAGGGCGCCTTTGTTTTGATTCGAAAACTTTCTTGCTCATTATTGTATGCTTAAAAAAGTTATACTATAAAAGGTGCGATATTCACAAAGTTATATTTCTCAATATCAACCTTGTTGAATGAAATATTGCTTAAGATATCATAGTGTTTGCTTTGAATTTGCTTGATCACAATTGACTCATCGGTCAAGAAATAAACATTAGGGTTGTTTTTTTTTTTTGTGGGTTTACCGTAGGTTTTTGCTATTCAGATTTTTTTTTTAAAATATCACATAAAAAAATTACTTTTTTTTTTTCTATATTATACTACAAATTTATTTTACATTCAAAATATCATATCAACTTCTATTTATATCACATTAAACAACTGTTCCAATTCAACTTTTTACTATTCAAAAATTCAAACCTAAAAATTAAAATCCACAAAGAAACACATTGATTTCTCGTGTTTTTTTTTAAACTTTTTTTTAGGAAAACAAATTGTAATAAATGTGGTGTTAGTCTACAAATATTTTTTTTTATCAAACTTTTGACTAGATTATTTTTTGTGTGCAAAGTTTATTCCCATTGGAGTTGCCTTCTCAGTTTTTTAAAGGTTGCAAACTATTTAGTTTTTTTTTTTTTTTTTTTTTTTCTTGTTTAAGTAAACAAATCTAATTTCAAGATATACTGAAAGATAACAGATTATAAAGATCTCTACTTATTTCATTTTTTAACAATTCTATTTTATACTATTATTTTTGTCTGCAATTTCATTCTCTATACCAAGGGACTCTGATAGGAAACAATTATAATTTCAAATTCTGCTAATTATAGAATCAAAATTATTCATTTTAATATATAGTATGTTGATTATGTATGATTTAAAAAACAGGAATTCTATTTAAATTGCTTACTCATTTTATATAGGACTTACTAATTATTCTTAATAGAGGAAGAGAAATGCATAATGAGAAATTTCATTGTGTTTATTTATTATTATTATTATTTAATTGTTATAATTTAATTTAACTTACATTATTTATATATTACAAATATGGCATTGAATTTATTATTCAAATATCTAAGCTATCTATCTATATATTTTTTCAAATTATACTAATGTGATCTTAAAAAAATATTATATCTAATTTATTACTCAAACAAAAAAAATCATCAAAAATATTTTTTTAAATAGATTATCACTCAAAAAAATTTACTGACTGTATCCCAATCGTTATATATATATATATATTTTTATATTTATCAACTGAATTCTTTATTTTACTAAAGAAAACAATTCATTCTAATTCTCTACTTAATTCATTTTCTCTGCAATTTTCTTCTTATAAACAACTCTAATAGGAAAAAATTATAATTCCAAATTCTGCTAATTATAGAATCAAAATTATTCATTCTAATATATAGTATGTTCGCTATGCATAATTTAAAAAACATGAATTCTATTTAAATTGCTTATTCATTTTATACAGAACTTACTAATTATTTTTAATAAAGTGGATCTGTAAATTTTTATGACCTTCTTCATTTAATTCCCATTTTTTCTTTAATTCATTTCTCTTAAATTCTACTCGCTTCTGTTATTTTTGTTTGCAATTTCATTCCCTATATCAAACGACTCTAATATGAAACAATTATAATTCCAAATTCTGCTATTATAGAATCAAAATTATTCATTCTAATATATAGTATGTTCATTATGTATGATTTAATAAAAATAATTCTATTTAATTGCTTACTCAATTTATATAGGACTTACTAATTATTTTTAATAAGAGTGCATCTGTAAATTTTTATGAGCATCTTCTTCCCATTATTATAAATATCTACAGCACAATAACCATTCAATTTAATCAAAGCAGCAACATTTTAAAGAACATTCACCGAGTGCTTAAAAGATGAGTTCTTCACTATTCAGTATTGTGGAAAAGGTATGATATATATTTGTATATATATTTTTTCATTTACCTTAGCAGTAAGACACACTGTTAGTGTAAGGATAATGAAAAAAACATATTTGTTTTAATTATATATACAATACTTTTTTAATTCTAAAGATTTTCTAATTGAGTTGATATTGTAGGTTGAAGCTGAAATTCGAGGCACAAATCAAGAATGGGTCAATCGCTTTTTGAGAAAGAATTTTTTTCAATCATGTTCAACCCATGATATTTATTTGAACAAATATTGTGTAGCATGTGACGCAATGACTTGCAAGTATAGGGTGAAAAGTGGCCACCACAACGGCCATATGATACTCAAGGTGCATAAACATTTGCATAAAGAGATCGTTCCTTTAAGTGAAAAGTGACCACCACAACGGCCATATGATACTCAAGGTGCATAAACATTTGCATAAAGAGATCGTTCCTTTAAGTGAGTTAGAGGCTCTAATTGATTGCTCAAAAATTAAGGTACAATAAATTTTACTGTAAACTTTACAAATAAGTGGTGTTGCATTTATAGTAGTTCAGATGCAGTATATATTTGATTGAGTTAATATTATTTTTCAAAAAAAACTTTTTCAATTTGCTTTTATTTAAATTTAGTATTCACACCACTTGAGAAATTGTTAAATAATTATTATATCATTATGGATATAATTTGACGATAATCATTTTATTTAAATGTAAAAAATGGTCGCTTTTGTGTCATAATAATAATAATAATAATAATAATAATAATAATAATAATAAAAGTAGATGTTGTTTTACGGTGTTATGATTATTTATAGAAATAATACTATTGTCTTGAGACGGACATAAATGATAAAGTAGGACAATTGAATTGGGACGAGAGGGAGTATTTCTTTAAATCATACGATCATGTTTGGAGCTCTAACATTTTTTTTGTTTGAATTGATGTTGTAGGTTGATAATAAAATTCATCAAGGGATAGATGCACAATGGGTCAGTCGACTTTTGGAAAAGAGTTATTTTCAATTGTGATCGACCCATGAGTTTGATTGAATAGATATTGTGTAGCATGTGATGCGATAAATACAAGTATTGTATGAAAAATGGCCACCACAACGGGCATACAATTTTCAAGGTGCATAGACATTTGTATCAAGACGATGTACCTTTAAGTGAGTTGGAGACTCTAATTGATTGTTCCAAAAGTAAGGTAGAATAAATTTTGTTGTTGTCTTTACATCTAGAATGTATCAGTAATTATTTAAATACATACAATAGATATTTGACCGAGTTTATATTTTTCACCAAAATGTCTTTGGTTTGCTTCCATTTTAATTGGATATTAAAATTTTGTTATCATGTCACTTGATTATTATACTATGATGGATAGTTTAATGATAATACTTTAATCTAAATGTGCAAGCTATTCATCTAAAAATAATATATATATATATGTGTATATTTCGTTATAACAACCATGTTAATTGATGAGAGCTTTAATGTTTTTCCAACCACACATTTATAGGCTTACAAAAGTAACAATAAGAGATTTATATCTTTAACTCCTCCCCCCCCCCCCCCCAATGGATTTAAGGAGAATGTTTGAGGCACAGAGCATTGTAGGAAATGGGTGCCTCGTGAGAGCACTTTTTTTTTTTATTTATTTAAATGATGCGAGAATCCGCAACCGTTAATCTTCAAATGCACTCTGGGTAAACCACCGGTCAAATTTAATAGTCTGAAAATTAGGTGGCAAGACAAACCACAATAGGCAAACTATGTTTTACGTGGACATAAACAAAATACCCACACAATGTTTGTTGACCTAGATCTACATTTGAGAATACCAATCCAAGAATCATCCACTAAAACCTATTACCTGTGTTTTACACACACTTGGTACACCTAACATATATACCACAACTTTCCTCTCTCTTGCTTTTCTTGCTTAGCCAAGCACAAGAAATTGAACATTACACCGCAGCATACAACCTATCTAACTGAGAGTAAGCTTGCTTAGGAGTTGGTCATCTTCTCCGTTGGTCATCCTCTTTCTCTTTCATCTCAACAGTTTCACAACTCCAAGAAAGCTTGAATTTCTTCTCCAAAACAGAAAGGTATGGAAGAAAATGAATAGAGAGAAAACACACTTGTTTCTTTCACTAAAAAATCAATTCAAATTTTACCCTAACCAACTCTGACCTAGTCAAACCCAGACTGGTTTTTGTCTCAAATTGGTGGCAATGGAATCGAGGTCATTTAATGATATGCAAACTTTCTGAAGTACGTTTTGAGTCTCTATGAGACAGCTCGAATTTGTCCTTTAGGCTTGGACTCTGATCAATTTTGAGCCCAACAAATGATCATGCAGTAATCTATCACAGTCTACTTGCATGCTTCCTTTTTAGTGTTGAACTACACTTCTGATGGAGTAAGTACATTTTGTATTAGTTGCAAAAATAGAAAAAAAGGTTGGGTTTTTTTTTTTTTTTCTTAACAGATTGTATTTAGAAGATCAAAAGAAAAATATATCTAAATATATATAAAAATAGATGTTGCAAAAGTTTTGGGGCATGCCAAATTAAATATAATTAAAAGAATTTTTTTTAGGACAAATGTAATACCATATTATACTCTATTACCAATAACATACAATATAACAAGTGATTTAAAGATGTTGAGTGACATTTTTAATGTACAGAGCTAAGTGCAACTTTTGTCATAAATGCTTACATGGGTTGGTTAAGGTTCGTTTCATTGAATTATATTTGATATTGTCTTAATCAAACTATTTTTAATTTGATAGTCAAAATCTTTCAGAGGAGTGACTAAACTCAGGTTGCGGATACATTGCACTAGAAAAGAAAAATTTACGGGTGCCTTTCTTTTGATTAAGAAGTTTATTATTTGTTATCAATCTTATGATTGTAGAAAACGATACTTGGTTTAATCATATGATCATTTTTCGACATATAAAGTTTTGTTCATTGCATGATAATAATGAAATTTTGTTAAGAAAGGATTCGTGTTTCCAACTTAAAACCAATTGGTGATAGATGGAGGGGCTCTTCACCCTTATAAGCTAGGGAAGTTCTCCCGTCATAT